AATGGATTAAGGTCTAGGGTTTGGAAATTAGGGTTGAGGATTTAGGTCAGGTCGCTTCGCGCAGGGTTTTGGGGTGTACTGTAAGGGCCTACACGAATGATTTGAATACGGTTTGAGGGGGCTTATGTAATTACAGGTACACAGAGATTGGTAGGGTTGCAAGCTTTTAGGCTTATAGGGCTGATGAGCTTTGTCTTGAATCAGGAATCAGTATTTGAGCTATAAGTCAACTACTAGTATGCCCCGCATTAAGCCCAAACTACTTCCCCATGTAATCCCCCATATAATGCCCTTTAAGCGGTTTAGACAATAGCTCTTTTGGGGTTTGAGGGTTTACGGATTGGGGCATCTAGATCTAAACGCAGAGGCTTTGAAAGCGGGCTTCAAATTTCAGAAGGGAATATTGTAATGCGCCTCTTTTTACAGTGGATACTTGATCTCTCTTTGCGTACGAACATGTCAAGCAAACGGCCCATAAATGCACACTCCATTTTCTTAAAGCAAAAGTAGGACAATCCTAATTTGAGCGATTGCCAAAGAAGGGCACTGTTTTTACGAAAGACCCATGACATCACCAATTGTTGTAAATTGTGAGGACCCTCTTCCAGCCAAGACTCACTTAACTGTAAAGTTGTCTCTCGATGTTTGCTGGGCAACTAGTATGCAAGAATCTCCACCCTTGGAACCCTTCGTTGGGGATACATGGCCCTTTATAGTGGGTACTTGGGCCGTACCAGAGGGTACTTCGGGCGTACTAGAGGGTGGGTGGAGGGTCTAGGGACGTACATGGCTTAACAGATTTCCGGGAGAAGTCTGGCAGCCGTAGATATCTTTCCTTTGAGAGCACTCTACATTAGGTGGACCCCCACCCAGTAATAGTGACTATAGGGGATAATAGGGATTATATTAGGGTCCTCTTATATTCCTATTATAGCACTATTACAGGGTGGGGGGTCCTCCTAAACTCTACATCTCTAGCCCCTAAACCCTCCGCCCTTAATCCCACACATGGAGTCTAAGCCTAAACACCTCATCTGCCAGTCTATCTCAGAGTCGTTTGGAGAAAAAGCATATGAGTGGTGTTTTTTTGGTGCTTGAACCTAGTAAGATCATGTTCCTTATATAAAAATACTATACCCAAAAGGAGGATATAATCTTACTCTATATTGGGTACCATAGTATCCCCAAAATAAATACTACTCATATGCCACAGCCGTGCCTGACATGCCGCGCCTCCTTGAATTCGGCCTGGGCGGGGCTTTGTGCTCAGGTCATTGTCATAGTGTTGTTTTCTGTAATCCACATGCCCATACAAAAGAGGTTATCAGGGTTCAGGGTTTATGCACTCCTCCACTCCTCCTCAATTGAGCCATAGTCTAAGCTCCTAGTATCCCCCTTAATGACCACCAATTATGATACTCCCCTATATACTTCCCTATATAACCTCCTTGAAGGAGTTCAGACACAAGCTTACGTAGCGCCAGGAAGCTCAAGGATTGTCTCAAGGTCCTGACTAAGTGCCACGAAGCTGCAAACCCTGAACCCTAGAACCTGAAACACTCAAACTCAAACTGCTCAACACCCTAAAAACCCCTAAACCCCATAACCCCGAACATATGAACCCCAAACCTCTGAACCCTCTAATGCCCTACATCCCCCTCATCCTCCTGAGGGCCCCAAACCCTAAACCCTAAACCGCGTGCGGATTTTAGGATCCCCTCTGGGCTCCCAAACGACGTCGAAGCGCCTTCGGCCTCGTGCAACTGAAAGCCCAAAGTATGGCCCCAGGAGGTTCGGTTGGGGTTTTTTCGTTATATGGGCTCGGAGGTTTAGGGGTCTAGATGGGTTTAGGGTCTTAGGATTTAGGGCTTAGCTTTGGATTTCTGGGGGTTTAGATGGGTTTAGGGTTTAGGGCTAAAGTTTAGGACTTAGCTTTGGATTTCTAGGGGGTTAAGGGCTTCAGGCTTTAGGATTTGGAGCCTCACAGCACTTGATAGCTAGTTGCTGGAGCCAAGGATTCCGGCCTAGACTTACAGTTGAAGTGGCCTGTACAAGTTGTATAAGTAAGGAGGACCCCCCACCCTGTAATCGTGATTTAATAAGAATATAAGAGGACCCTAATATCATCCTCACTATTCCTTATAGTCACTATTACTGGGTGGGGGGGTCCACCTAATGTATAAGTCCATTCATGAGAATTCACCTTCAAGGTAGAGGTTCAGGGATTGCGCCATAAAGGGGGCAGGGGGATTCGGCTTAGGACTCAGAAGCCTAGCAGTGTCAATATTTCAAGACACATCGCGGAAAGACATACACTCCTGGAAATTAACATGGAAACCCAAAAGGGGCCCTATAAAGACTACAGTCCCTCTAAAATGGGGCTATATGGGTTTCCATGTTAGTTTGGGGGAGTGTATTGAGCTAGATCCCAACGAGCGATGCCGCAGAAATCCACGAATGACTTCTGACAACCTTTTGTTCCCAAAGCGGTCCTCTCGTGCGTCCGCGAATGATCCCTGCACAGTCCCTTTCTTAGAAGGTCTGTCCTATCTGAGACGCAAGGAATCTACCCAAAAACTAACCCCCAACATGTAATCCCTAAATCCCTAACCCCTAATCCAAAACCCTAAGTCCTCAACCATGACCCGAATCCCTGAAACTCTACTCCCTAAACTCAACCCCCAAACCCGAAACCCAAAACCCTAAGAACAAAAACCCAAACCGTAACCCCTAAACTCAAAATCCTAAACCCTAAACCGTAATCCCTGAACCCCCAAACCCAAACCGTGAACAAGGGGGCTAGCAGCCTCGCCCTCTGCCGCTGGCGCCGTCGCCGGTGCAGCACTTTGGCTGGGAGAACCTCGGGTCAAGGGCTTCAAAAGTGGAGACTGCAGGTTTTAGGGTTTAGGGTTCGAAGGCTTTAGAAGTGGAGGCTTCAGGTTTTAGGGTTTGGGGTTCAAAAGGCTTTAAGGTTTTAGGGTTTAGGGTTCTAAGGCTTCAAAAGTGGAGGCTTCAGGTTTTAGGGTTTAGGGTTCAAAGGTTTTAGAAGTGGAGGCTTCAGGTTTTAGGGTTTAGGGTTCAAAGGCTTCAAAAGTGGAGGCTTCAGGTTTTAGGGTTTAGGGTTCTAAGGCTTTAAAAGTGAAGGCTTCAGGTTTTAGGGTTTAGGGTTCTAAGGCTTTAAAAGTGTAGGCTTCAGGTTTGAGGGTTTAGGGTTCAAAGGCTTCAAAAGTGTAGGCTTCAGGTTTTAGGGTTTAGGGTTCTAAGGCTTTAACAGTGAAGGCTTCAGGTTTTAGGGTTTAGGGTTCTAAGGCTTTAAAAGTGTAGGCTTCAGGTTTTAGGGTTTAGGGTTCAAAGGCTTCAAAAGTGTAGGCTTCAGGTTTTAGGGTTTAGGATTCTAAGGCTTTAACAGTGGAGGCTTCAGGTTTTAGGGTTTAGGGTTCAAAAGTTTCAGAAGTGGAGGCTTCAGGTTTTAGGGTTTAGGGTTCAAAGGCTTCAAAAGTGAAGGCTTCAGGTTTTACGGTTTAGGGTTCTAAGGTTTTAGAAGTGGAGGCTTCAGGTTTTAGGGTTTAGGGTTCGAAGGCTTTAAAAGTGGAGTCTTCAAGTTTAAGGGTTTAGGGTTAGGGTGTAAGATATAGGTTTTAGGGTGTAGTGGAAATATATAGAGCCCTTTGAAGGGGATATCGGCTGTAGTACTGACGATTGTGCAGGGTTGAAGGCTATAGTAGCAGCCTGAATGATTTCCAGTAGTGAAGAATTAGCTGCAGAAGAACATCGCAAAAACAAATAAAACCTGGGCTTACACAAAAGCTTATAGAGATGCATGGGGTGTGGGGTTTAAGGACTAAGGTTTGGGAGCTTCTAAAGCACGACAAGATACACCTCCAAGCAGAAATTCCAAACCTTTTTAAACTGTTTACGAACTAGGGTTTAGGGATATGTAGAGCCCTTCAAAAGGGTTACGGGCAAAGTAACAGGGATTATGTAGAGTTTATAAGGAGCTATAGAGCCGTCTAAAGAGGTACCGGCTACAGTATAGTTGCAGGGGTCGTGTTGCGGGGTTTTCGTCTAGAGTAGCGGCCTGGATGATTAAATCACATGGACAAGAAAATAAAATTGCCATGGGAACTGTGCTTACACAGAAGCTCTAGGACACAATAAAAGGGGATCTAGGTTTAGGGGCTTCCCTAAAGCACCACAAAATTACAACGTCAAAGCTGCAATTCAAAGCCCTTTGCTTTAGAACGAGAACTTCCGAAGTTGGTCTCTGTGTTCATGAAGGCCATACTGTTTAAGGTTTAGAGTCTACCCTTGATCTCTTGTTCCAGTAAGACAACACCAGTCAACAGCTGTCAGCGACGCCAAACACTAGACCTTAATTGCCCCTAGACTCCCTAGATGACCCAATGTCTAATTATAAGAGCTCTATGAACCCTAAACCCTAAACCCTACACACAATCCAAAAGCTCTCAAAACACTTCAACCCCAGACTTTAACCCCAAAACTCCATAACCCCAAAAGCCAAAAAATAAACCCCAAACCCTATAGCCCCCTTGATTAGATAGTCATATTGGGGTTATATTGGGGTTATATTGGGATAATGGAAAAGAAAATGGAAACTACTATTTAGGGTTTAGGGTTTAGGGGATATAGTCCCCCTTAAGTAGACGGAGTGCGGGGTATATGGGGATCTCATTAATAGAATGTCTATCTACTTAAGGGGGCTAAAAACCCTAAACCCCCCCCTCCCCTGTTCATGCCCAGTTTGCAGCTCATAGTCCATTTGATTCTCCGACGTTATGGTCGGAGGCCCTACCTTTGGCCCTAAGCCCTAGTGCGTAATCCTAATCCCAAACCCTATACCCTATCGATGAACAGGCCCCTCCGCTCTGGCAGGAATCGAGAAGTGTACCAAGTTATTCGACGCAGGCCTTTTGTTGCACAAATCAGGGTTCTTTCACGTAGGTTATGAGCCCAAGCGCTAGGCGCTACTTTGCATAGCAATGTCGGGGCTTCGGCGTAGACGGCCGGGGTCTGCAAGTGAAACTCCTGCTCTAGAAGACACTAGTGAGTCAACTGGACTGGAGAGGCCTAGTGAGAGTGAGACGCGTATGGTGGCAACGGAAGGGAGAACTGCTCAAGTCTCTCCGTTTTGGAGTGAGCGAGCCAGGGCTGAAGCTGTTTTGGCAGCGGCAAGACCTGCAGGATTGGATGAGGCGGCTGAAGGTGCAAGTTCGGCGCGAGGGAGTGATTCTACTGAGTTGCGAGCAGACACTGGGCGAACTGGTGCGGATGAGACTCGTGCGCAAGCACGTGCAGAGGTAGATGAGCTTCAACAAGTTCAGCTTGCAGGACCATTTCCGATAGGGGAGCCAAGATCTTTTGGCCCTGGTGGGGTGGTGGCGCCGCTAGCTTCGGTAGAAGGCCCTGGAGTTCAAGCTCAGGAGTCCCTTGAACATGCTGTTCCCCAGGATCGCCCTGAGGATGCCCGCCTTGGCATGCGTCCTGGCGAAAGATTAGTAGTGGAAAAGATGCGAGATCTTCTTCGCGATCTTTTTGATCAAAACCAGCGCTTGATAGAACAGCAACAAACCTTGCAAGGGCGCGTAGATAAGATAGAGGATGACGCTTTAAATCCAACCATGCATTCTGCTTCCTCAGGAGGCCAGCGTGATCAGCTTGATGCTCTAAGGTCCTTTGTCGACCT